GGCCCCGGCGCCGGGGGCGCAGGAAACGCGTCATCACTCGGGGACGGCGCGCTGCGGTGGGCTCGGCGCCGCTCGGCTCGTGGGCCGGCTAGGCTGCAGCTCTGGGGTCCCCGGGGTCTGTGCCCCGCCGCGCGGTGCGGGAGACTCCGCTATAGGAAGGGGCTGGGGGGCGCGGGCAGGCCGGGTTCCGCAGGGTGCCTTCCGGGGCGCCGGCCGGGTCCTGAGGCAGCGAGGACCTGGGGCGTGGGGGGCGGAGTCCTCTGCAGCGACCCGGCTGCTGGGACCCCGGGCGGCAGCTCCGGACCCCGGAGCCCCCTGGTAGAGGTCGCTGAGGATCGGGAGACCGCTGGGGGAATGGGGGGCAGGAGGGGTGGACTGCACTCAGTTACAAATGTTCTGCCTCCTGCCGAGCGCTGGGAGCATCAGTTATGCCCTTTGCCCCTTCGGTTCACGGTCTCAGGGAGGGGATGTGAGACGGCGCGGCGCGATCTGAAGGTTACCACGGGGGCAAGGAGCCTCGGAAGGCGCGTTCCGTGGGATCCAGTTTTTAAATACAGGCGGAAAGACTGGACGAACAAGGCCATCATGCTGGCTCCGTCTCAGTGTTCGGTGGGATTGTGATTTTTCTCTTTCTGCTTAATTCTGCTGTCTAGTTTTTCTGTAAGAAATACATTATTGTTGTGGTTTCGGGGGGAAATTAACTTTTTTCTTCTCGATACAGAACAGTCAGGATGGACTTCAAGAAAGCACATTTCTTGAGTTACTCAGACTTACCGTATTTCTTGAAGCACGAAACTGCTGCACTGTAAATCTAAGAAAGGTGATGTTGTAAGTTGAAACTGCCTTGGGGCTGGGGATTTAGCTCAGCGGCACAGCGCCTGCCTGGAAGCTCAAGGTCGTGAGTTCGATTCCCGGTACGGCGAGGGGGAGGGACTGTCTTGAAGAAGTCTGCTGAGTCGAGGAGCGTGGTGGCACACACCTGCAGTTCCAGCACTCAGGAGGCTGAGGCAGGAGGATTGTTGCGGGTTCGAGACCAGCCTGGGCTACAAAGTGAGCTCAAGGCCAGCCTGAACCGCATAGCGAGACCCTGTCTCAAAAAGACCAAAAAAAAAGGGGGGGGGCAACTAAATGTTAAAACATTCAGAGCAGTGAGGTGCAGGTGTCTGAATACCTGCACGTTCCTGATTCAACCAGCATCATTCGGGGCTCTCTGAGACCACTTTTTCCCTAGTGAGAAAAAATAACAATCCCAGAGTTCTTTGCTGTTACTGTCCTGGCTTCATACTGAGACTTTGGACACTTCCTTATGCAGTGCTCAGTTTCTGTAACCACTATCACGGCTTGAAAGCCACCTGCTGTTTCTTTAGAAAAGTGAACTAATCATTCTATGACTACTCATACATTTTTGAATAACCTCCCCAAGAGATGTAAAATTAATTTGATCGATAACCTATAGTAACTTCTCTTAAATTGAAACTCTACCCTTAAACTTGAGAAAACGGTCGTCCTAGTCGTCCCCCGTTCCCCCCATCCCCGTCCCACTAGGGCTTCAGCTTTTTTTTTTTTTTTTTTTTTTGGACACAGGGTCTTGCTGAGTTAAGAAATTGCCAGGCTCTAATCCTGAACCTGCCAGAGTGCTGCGATTATAGATGAACACCACCACACCCTGCATGTCTAAATTTAGAGTCAACTGTCCGTGACCTGAGGCTATACCAGTCCCAGAAATAGTTGCAGACAAGCAAAAAAAAAAAAAAACTATTTTAACGATGTTAACATTTGGGGGATTATCTCCACCCAGAAGAGGAAAACATACTGATCGTTTATCTTAAAGCACCTAGAACCCTAAATAGAGTGTAACTGTGTCTAAGCAGTTTGTCAAGCCTTTGAAAATGGCCCTGTTTCCTACTGAGCAGATCCCACTTGAAAATAAATACACTGTGAACAAAATGTACCAGTACGGGGCTATATTTCCAACACTTGGACAGCTGAGACAGAAGGATCACAAGTTTGAGGCCTGGGCCTGGGGATTTAGCTCAGTGGCACAGCGCCTGCCTGGCAAGTGCAAGGTCGTGAGTTCAATTTCTGGTAAAGGGGGGCGGGGGACGGGACGGACTGCAAAAGTTTGAGCCCTGCATGGGCAATATAGTGAGATCTTGTCTCAAAATCTGAAAAGGACTGATGTGGGCCGGGGATTTAGCTCAGTGGCGCAGCACCTGCCTGGCAAGCTGGTACCAAAAAAGTAAATAAATAAATGAAAAATAAAAGGGAGTGATGTTAGTGCAAAGGCTTTGGGTTTGATCCACAGGAACACACCACACACACACACACACACACACACACACATTTTGTATAATAAATAATGCAGTATTTGAGGAAGTAAAAGAGATCATTTCCAAATCATTTGAAAAAAGTACGTCTATACTGGGCTACAAAGTGGGCTCAAGGCCAGCCTGAACTGCATAGTGAGACCCTCCCTCAAAAAGACAAAAAAAAGAAAAGAAAAAAGTATGTCTAAGGACAACACCAAAAAAAGCCTACTGTTTTGCCACAATGAGATCTGTAATTACCAAATTAAATGTTGCTGGTGCTGAAGAGTGGAATGCTGAGATTCCTCCCTACCCTGTTCCCCCCAGCCTGAGCCTCCGGCTTCCTGTCTGCTCCTGCATGTAACTGGAGTCACAGTTGCTGGGTTTTCCTAACTGAGCAAGCCCGACTAGGTCCCTATTGAAGAGCACAAAGAAATTCCACCAAATGTTTCATTCTACCTTTGTTTGTAAAGTCATATTCTGTGCCATATTAAAATATTTTCTTGGGCATCCTTGATACAATACACCAAGAGTTCATGGTTTTCCCCGCTTTCCAAATGCTTGTATCCTTTCCCTGGAGCAAGGTGAAGGTGGAAACCACATTTTCTAAAAATTACCTATTACAACCAGTGATAAAAACAAAATGATCGGGTTTCTATTCTCATCTGACATCATTAGATTTTTGGAAATCTCCCCATTTCTTTTCTAATGATAAGTTGTAAGGAGTTGCGGTCCAGCGTGTTTCATACGTTAATTTTTTTTTGTTTTATTTGAAAGGAAAATACTTGATATTTTGCAAAAATTAATATATTTTAGGTTCTTACTGTCTAAATGTGAAGCTTCATCTCATTCCTGACTATTCAGGATGGAGCAATACATATAAATTTAACTGTATTTTTCTTAGCAGGAAATTGGTCGTACAGACTCAGGAAATGATCATCATCAATACCCAACACAGGACATGCTTGAGATTAATTTTTGTTCGCATGTAGTGTATGAAACACACTGCAGATGGTTCTCTAATGTGTCTGGAACAACATACCATCTAGAAGACTACAAGTAATTATTTTGCTAACTTGGTTTTATTTTTAATCCAAATCATAGTTTGGGGCTGGGGATTTAGCTCAGCGGCAAAAGCGCCTGCCTGGCAAGCGCAAGGTCGTGAGTTCGGTTCCCGGTACCGGAGAAAAACCAAAAAAAAAAAAAAAAAAAAAAAAAAAAAACCAAATCATAGTTAATGTAGAGTGAATTCTGTACAAGTCAGAACGTTTTTTTTTTTTTTTTTTTTTTGGTTGATTTAAGAAGACATGTTTGGGTAACAATACTATGATTTAAAAATCTATTTAAAACATTCTTATTATGACCCAGGTATGGTTGCACACACCAGGATTTCCTGGCATGCTGGGAGACTGAGGCAGAAGGATTGAAAGATCTAAGGCGGCCTGGGTAACTTAGTGAGACTATGTCTGCAAACTAAAAATTAAAAAGGGGGTAGGGATGTACCTCCGTGTGAAGGCCCTGGGTACAATCCCCAGTACACCCTCCCAAATATTGTGAATTCTCAAAATTGTTTTATTAAATATGTGACTTCCGTTTTTTTGGTCACTTGGGATTTTTGTTTGTTTGTTGTTTGTTTTTTGAGACAGGGTCTCACTGTGTAGTTCAGGCTGGCCTTGAACTCACTTTGTAGCCCAGGCTGGCTTCAAACTCAATGATCCTCCTGTCTCAGCCTCCCAAGTGCTGGGATCACAGGCCTGCACCACCATGCCTGGCAGCCAATTGCTCTTATATCCCTAAAATACGCAGAGTGATCAAAATATAGTGATTGGGTTGGGGATTTAGCTCAGCGGCACAGCACCTGCCTAGCAAGTGCAAGGTCTTGAGTTCAATTCCCAGTATGGAAAAAAAAAAAAAAACTACATTCAAAATACAGTGATTATTTAATTTTTTAAATTTATTACAGTAAAAGACACATTGCCATTAACTCACCTCAAAACATTCCCCCTCTATTCAAACACACTTATCCCATCATTCTTGCCACTTTTTGAAGCAGTTCCTGAAGTCTTCTTTCTTGAGTGTCTTTAGTTGCACTGTCATGGCTGCCTAGATGTCCTGAATTGATTCAAAACACTTACCTTTCATAGTCATTTTGACTTGGGGAAGAGTCAGAAGTCACACAATGCCAAATCCAGTGAGTGAGGTAGATGAGGACACACTGTAATGTTGTATTGAACCTGCCTTTGGTTGGGTGACACTCAGCAACAACATTCACCTTATATTTGATAAATATAGTATGGGGTTTAATTGAAGCGCCCTATAATTTGTAAAACCAGTCACAAAAGAGAACTTCCAGAACTGATTCAGCTAGTGGCAAAAATGATGGTATAAGTCTTTTCAAAGGGTGGGAAATATCCTGAAGGGGATTAATGGCAATGTGTCTTTTATTGCAATACATTTTTTTGTTGTAGTTGTTTTGTTTTGTTTTTGTTGTTTTTCTTCAGGTACCGGGAATCGAACTCACGACCTTGCGCTTGCGGGGCAGGCGCTGTGCCGCTGAGCTAAATCCCCAGGCCCTGCAATACATTTTTAAAAATTTATGGGGAACCCACTCAGGCCCCCCTCTGTCCTTCTCTTGGACAGAAGCTTTCTTTCCCTCAATAAATATATTCTGCTCTTAAAAAAATTTTTAAAAAGAATTAAACATCTGTTGTATATTTCAGTCACATCTAATATTGATTAAAATTGGCATATTTGGCTCTGGAGGTTTTAAAATTTATTTATAGGTGCCACAAAATTATTTTCAAAGGGATCAAACCAACTTTAATTTAACAATGATGTATTTATTGCTAGACAGAAACTATCATTGTAGGTCCACCTCAAATGGGATGGTTTTGTTCTAAACAAAGTAAGATGATTAGGTCATGTCGAAGTCATTATTATGTAAAGCAATCAACTAAAAAATAGTAAATGTTAGCAGATATGCTTAGATTTTTAAAATTTATTTTGGTAGTACTGAAGATTGACTCAAGCCCTTTACACTGAGCAATAGCCTCAGTCCATTTTTTATGTTTTAGTTTTGGACGGGGTCTTGCTAAATTTCCCAGGTTGGGCTCTAATTCACAATCCTCTTGCCTCAGCCTCCCAGAGGGCTGGGATTACAGGTGTTCACCACTGCGCCAGACTTAGATATTTTTAATGTACTTTCAGGGAGGTAACTGGTGATCTGGGGTTTACTTGAAGCACAAAGTAAATCATCCAGTATAATTATTACTTGCCTGTTTCTTTAAATCAGCTGAGCAAGCGTTCACTGAATTGGTGCCAGGCAGGATCCACTGATTTCTTTAAGGCCATTGTTTTTAAAGGTTTAAACAGTCTGGGGCAGTGGTGGGAAACCTATGGCATGCATGTTATTTGTTTTTCTTTTAAGACAAAAAGTGTTTATGTATGAGTTATTGTCTCTAAACTAAAACCTCAGTATTCAGGTTTAACTGTCTCGTTACTTTTCTCTCGTTGCTGGGACAAAATACCTGATGCCCAAAATTAAGGAAAGAAAGGTTTATTTAGCTCACAGTTTTTTGGTTTTTTTTTAATATTTTCTTTTTTGATACTGGGAATCAAACTCAAAGCCTCATACTTACCAGGCAGGCATTGCGCCACTGAGCTACATCCCCAGCCCTAGCTCACAGTTTGTGGAGGTTTCAGTCCATACTTGGCTGGCTCCAAGGCAGAGCAGCACATGGCAGAGGACAACAGTTCATGGGAGGGGAAAACAGCAAAGCAACAAGAGCAAAAGGCAGGAGCAGTGGCAAGCAGCCTGTTTCCCTCCCTTACGGTCTATGCAAACGGCCCGCCTCAGGGGCAGGGGTAGCACTCACACCCATAATCCCAATGCTGGACCATGAATCAAACACACACTCTAGAAGCTGCCCCCATGCCTGCATGAGGCTTTGGGGGGACACCCAGACACAAACCACAGCAGGCACTTTATAATAAAAAAGTGGGCTCTGGGCTATAGTTTGAGCACTCTAAATGGCTTACCGTTACTGATGCAGGCCCATAATGAGCAGCTGATTGTCAGAGCAGCTGATAATGTCACTTTATCAAAATGTCATATTGTCACTGATATTATCACTATAAAATATTGCCATGTGAGAGGTCTACACTTAGATAATAGTCTAAGTGTAATCTATTGGAGAAATGCCCCCCCTTGAGGAACAGAGCCCATCCACATTCACAAGAAAAAATATTCTCACCCAATCTGAAATTAATTATGAAATTATTTACTTTGTAAAACGCTAGGAAGATGGAAACAATCCTCTCTGGAGAGATGGGCATTTCCAGAGTCCAGGTGAGGCCCAGGGAGGAACCACCATGAGCCTGGGAGACTGCGTTGGGGGAGCTTTCCACGCATTGGGCACTCCTCCAGGAAGAGGCTTCCAGATGGAGATTCGCTAGACCGTTCACTCAAACTCACAGGCCCTGCTCCAAGGCTCCAGATGTGCTAAGCCTCTTCCAGAGCCCCAGGTGGTGATCACGCAGCCAGTGCAGAGAGCACACTTGGAAGCAGGCGGAAGGTTCTGAACTGCACGCCCATGCCCCCTGAGTACGACATAGTAGAGTTGGTTCATCAGGACACTGCTTGTCTCTGGAGCACTGCCTGAAGAATCACCAAGCACAACCCAGCCTGCTGTGGAGATGTTCGCATTTCTCCACACTCCAGGCAGAGAGCAGGTTTGGTCAGGAGGTTCTTTCTCAGACTGGACATCTGCTACCATGCAACAGAGATGACCCATGCCGAACAACAGTGTTCCCCCTGCCAGTCTGAGTTGAGTGACATGTCCTGCCAGGACTGCCGTCCTTCACCAGGAGCTCTTTCTGCCATTCTTTTTGTGTTCTGGGGATGTTTGGATCCATGATGGCCAACAAAATATGCAGTGATGGTGCAGAGCCGTCCTGGAGAAACAGCGCCAATGTGGGGATGAGAACTGGATGCTGGGAAGGAGCTCAAGGGCTTCTCAGGAAGTGGCTGGGGAAGTCCCTGGCTAAAAGCAGCAGGCGGTGAGGGACTGGTGGTGGATGACTTGCTGGAGGATGAAAGGTTTTGAGGGATATGGCAGCAGGAGGTGGGTGGCCCAAGAAACTAGTCAGCGAGGCCTGAGACCTGAAGAAGTGAGGAGTGACCGACATGGTGCAATGTTGGGAACACTGATCCACCCAAGTTCAGCGCAAGAAGAATCTCATTTGGGGCTCATGAGGCAATCATACCCAGCCTGCCTGACTTCCTCACCAAATCACTGACTCTAGTAGGGACCTTTAGGTGGGATAGTGAACCACTTATGAAGGGGGAAACTCCAAAGTGCATATGTGCAAGCACTTACACAAACTACCTGCGCTCTGTAGAGACCAGGAAACAGGCAGAAATATGGAAGGGACCTGAGACAGCAGTTTCTTCTGGCATGGGCTAGAGTGATGGAGACGCCTATGAAGCAGCCCTGAGCAGGACTTAAATTAATCCATTGGATTTTCATGTTCACTTGTGAATCTGTCCAAGGCCTAGTCTCCTTGTCTAGAAGTGGTGGACTCAGTAAATGAACCTCTGTGAGTCACTAATCCCTACTAAAACCTATAGTGGTGGATGACACTGGAAAGGCTCAAAGGATAAGACAAGTTCACAGCCAAGGACACCTGGGTCCAATCTCAACTAGATAAAGTCTATAGCTGCAATGTCACTGCTGGGTGGATGAATTTAATACCTCTCTTGGAGAAGTCCTTGAGTAAGTCTGACCTTCTTGAGGACACCCCTCCCTACTTCTGATAACCAAATAAATATGGGCTACCCAGAGAAGGTGTTGGTCATAGCCCTGAGAGAATCTTGAACTCCGTGAGAGGGCTCTGATCCTCCTGGAGCCCTGAAATCATTCCATTCCCCTATTTTTATTTAGCCTTCCCTGTGCACTCGTTTGGGAGACTGCAGACCTGATCAGCCCACAGTAACTAAGGGAAATTATTAACCCGATTCTAAGGGAACCCAAATTTGTGACTAAGCCATGAAAGAGCACCTGAGAGAAAAACTGTTGAGGATGGAACATTTTTTATTTGTTCTCAGATTCCAAGGAAGTGAGACAAGACTGGAAGAACCACTAGAACAGGAAGAGTGTCCCTGGTCAGAAGAGCTAAGGGACAGAGGACAAAGAGAGCAAAACAACAACAGCGACCTGGACCCAGAAAGAAGCCAAGCTCTGCTTCTCCTTGAGGGATCTGGAGTGGGACACAGCATGGGTGGATGGGACGCTTGGATATGCTTCAGGAACAAAAATGGTTGGATAGACAGCTGTTATAATTAACTAGAACTCCAGTGCAGTATTAGGGACTTCCTAGCAAACAGAGCTGGGTCATTTAATTAGATGTGTTCCTGGTATCTAGCCCTGTGCTAAGCATGAGGAAATCTCTTGGTACTTTTTTTCTGAATGAATAAACAGATGATGGGAGGTGTTCAAGCCAAATGACCTGTTATGTGAAACAAAATAAGTACCTTGAACTCTGTTCACCGCAGATGTTCCAGGGCCATCCTGCACTGATGTTCCCACTATATTTTTAATTTTAGCACCTAGAGGCAGTCCGTAGTTACTTGTCTATCCCGCCCACCAGCCCAAGTTTCCTGATAGTTTGGTTCATAGGGGACCAGGTCTTATTTATCTTCAAGTCCGCAGTTCTTATAGTCATGCTTAGTGCAAAGTACATGCCGAGCACATCCTAGTGCATGAATGGCTGCAGGAATAAATATTGTGTAAGTCACCACAAAACCTTTGTATTGACTCAGTTTGGTGCCAACCAAGCTGCACTTTCTGTGCCCCCACAATGCACCAGATTCTTCCAGTAATTTACATGGCTACAGCAAAATGAGCTGGAAGATTCTAGAAAAAGAAGAACTGCCTGGCAGGCCATGCTGCTATTTGGAAGGTGATGAGCACTACTTTAGGCTACAGTTGTGGTTTACCAGATAACCATGACATGGGCCACACACCACCAGTATGGTCTTGTGTTAGCCCCGATGGTTTCTCACCCATATGTCCTTGGTGGTTTTTTGGGAACAGACTCTGAAGCCATTTCTCCTTTCCACAAAATGAGCATGGTGGAAGCTACTTGTTCCTTCGGAAGAGGGCATGGCCTCCCACATTGCCACAGACAGAGAGCTGAGCAGCTCACAGGCTGAGGGGAATCTCTCCGGTGCCATGTTTTGATTCTGCTGGTTTTGAAGATTGAGATCAAAGATACTGGTCAGGATTTAATTCTTCTGCAGTCAAGGACTAATTTGGGGGGTTTTGTTTTCTACTTTATCTGGTTCTACTCAAGATTAGGCAGAGCAGTCCTGTCAGGAGTGGTCACTTCCCATGGGGGCAACTGACTGAAGAGGCAAAGGACCCTGAAGTGAGAGAACCAGGAAACGTGGCCGTGGAAGAGAGCACGTGGCCTCGGACCTGTCCCTTCGCTGTAACATCAGGATATTTCACTTCCGACTTCAATGGGTTGAGTCAAGTCACTCATAATTTCACTTCTGGATTTCTGTCATCTCTCTGCACACTGATAAAATGTATAATTGGTGCTGTTCATCTGAATTTATTGGATTTTTTTTTTCTGTACTAGGGATTGAACCCAGGGAGAGTTCAGCTGTATTACTGTCCCTTCTCTACATTTTGAGACAGAGTCTTGCTAAGTTGCCCAGGCTGGCCTCAAACTTGGGTTCTTTTCTTTTTATTTAAAAAATGTTAAAAGCTAACAAAACAAGAATGAAGACAAAAGCAAGACAATACACAAACAAAACGATACATGGCCTCAAAACAAAATGATAGGAATTAACAATGGTTGCTGCATTACATACTGTTATCTTCAACGAAGTTGCTCAGTCCACCAGACAAAAGAATGTAAGATTGATCAAACAATCAAAGACAATAACAAGTAATAAATAAAAAAAGCCAACACTGGACATAATGCTGAGCTTCACCATACAAGATGGCAGGAGTTCAAGAATGGTTCTTATACCGCCTGTCGTTTTCAGATCAGCCATTCTGATTACCAGATTCAAGCGTGCAAAACTGGTCAAGAAAAAATAACTTTTTTTTTTTTTTTTTTTTTTTTGCTTTTTGAGACAGGGTCTTCCTATGCAGTTCAGGCTAGCGTTAAGCTCACTTTGTAGCCTAGGCTGGCCTCCAATTCACAACAATCCTCCTGCCTCAGCCTCCCCAGTGCTGGGATTACAGGTGTGCGCTAGCACGCCCGGCGAAAAAAGAGCACTGACTGTTCCTTTCCATAAACCTGCCTCGGCCTCTCCAGAGCTGGAGTTACGGGTGTGTGCCACCACGTACATCTGGCTTGTCTGTGCCACCTTGCAGTTCACTGCTTTGCACATGACTTCTTCTCTGGGCTGGAGTATAAGCAGGCCGGGGTGCAGCTTACACTTTGCTGGGACGCTGTGGTGAGCACCGGAGGCGCCCCGTAAGTGCTGGTGGCTAACACCTGAGTCCCTCTCCGCCCGTCTCAGAAGCACGGAGGCGGGGCTGGGGCGGGCAGCTCCAGGGACACCCACGCTTGATGTCGGGGTTGGCGGGGACAATACCAAAGGCCAAGGGGAAGCAACCGTGCTGAGCCCCTGCCCCCAGCCCCAGAGCTCCCCTGGGATCTGAGGTCTTTGGGGACTGCGCGGCAGGCCACTTTTCCTCCGTGTATCTCCCAGTCCTTCCCCTTGCACAGGTGTGATTCTAAGAAATCCCCCGTCAGCTTCCACACGCAGATCCCAGAACCCTCCCCGTCCCCCTCCACTGCACCCCTAGTATTAGGTGGGCTCAACCGAGCCGGTGTCTGCAGGGCCGTGCCAAGGAGAGCAGCCCCGCCGCAGGAAGCCCTGCTCTCTGTCTCCAGGAAGGCGGAAGCTGACAGCGCTGCTGCCCGAGTCCAGGTCTCCATAGGAAAGCCAAGAACCGAGGAACTGTTCTCCACGGCTGAGGCCGGCGTGTGCCCGGTTCCCGCTCGCCCCTTTTCGTGCATACATCTGCTTCCTGGCGGCCGCTGGAGGAGAGGGACTGGCCCTAACTACATCGCTAAGATCAGCTGGATATGGAGCAGTTTGACAGCCTTCTTGTTCTTCTAAAGCCAGAGAAAACCCTGGGTTTTCAAACTGTTTCCTCTTCCCAAGAAAAACCAGGACGAAGCTGACTAGGCTGCGAGGGTCTGGGATCCGTCAGAGCAGAGCATATCCAGGTTTGGGGAAAGTCGGCTGCCGCCTTTCCTAATCAAGGGAGGCGCTGCTTTGGGCGATGGACACGTAGACTAGTCTGGGGATTTAGCTCAGCGGCACAGAGCCTGCCTGTCAAGTGTGAGGTCGTGAGTTCAATTCCCGGAACCGGAAAGAAAAAAAAAAAAAGGAATGCACAGGTAGTCTAAGAACGTTAACTTTGCACTTAGGAGCAAGTTGTGCCATTTTCACCACATTAATTTAGAATCGACACACGCAAGTACACACACACACACACACACACTTTACCTTGAGAGCCAGTTGTCTGCAATTCATCTCCTGTTCACACAAACCTTTCCAATGAATACTTGCTTCGATGATGCAATATCATTTCCTCTCCACTGATACTTTCTTTCCTTCAATCGCCCAGAGGAGCTGTGCCTGATTTCTTTTTCTTTTTCTTTTTTTGGTCAGGATCTTAGACATTTGCCGTGATTTATAGAAACACAGCCCTTTGAAGCAATTGGACAATGAGCTGCAGACTTGGGGCGCATTTCAATAATTCAAACATCGTCTGATACCTCGCAGTTCCAAGAGAAATGTACAGCTGCCAAGCCCAGAGAACTTCCTGCTGGAATTCTGCCAGAGAATAGAATAGCTCGCTGTGTCGGGGAGGTCCATCCTTGGGAGGGTTTGCTGTTTGTAAATTTAATAAACGACTCACATCTGCTTATAATATTATGGAAGTCTATGCAAAAAGGACTTCTTCCATAAAAACCCATTTCTAAAACTAGTGCTTTGTTTGCAGTGTTCGTAAGGGTACACGGGTGACACATCTGTGTTTATACTTGCGTTCCCGGTCACAGTGGGACGGGGCCGGCACTTTGAAAATCTTCTAGTTCTTCCTGTCACGTCAAATACTACTGAGGCCCGGAAGGGGTCAGGGGCTCAAGAGCGTGAGCAACGGAGTCGGGGCTCAGGGGGTGACACAGCCCATCCTTCCGCTCTTCTCCCTTCGCCCTGCTTCCCCCCCTCCCCTCCCCTCCCCTCTCCTCTCCTCCCTGTCCCACCCCTTCTTTCCTCTCTCTTCTCTCTCTCTTTTCTCTCTCTCTCTCT